AACATAATATTTAATGATGAGTTAAAATAAGTAGTCTATACAGCAGATAACAAGAAATACTTTTTTAGTACACTTTTGCACGATTATCAGATGCCAATACATGAAAATACTGCTCGAACAGCACGCACTCCATCGATGTACGCCGATGCTTTGCAAAAGGTTAATTAATTGATGTTTTCATTTTACCTTTGCGTACTTGCTTTACGAATTGCCAATATTTCCTGTTACAACCATTGCTACTTTATCCTATTAATTTTCGTTGCAATTCAAAAAAGCATTTTTTAAACTTGTCAGTTTATTCCACATTGCTGATCCCCTTGAATGCATCGCCGTTCTTCTTTGCCGCAAAGTTTAGGAAATGAAATTTAAATAAAATATCGTATAATTATTTCTTTTTGTAATTTTCATCTGTTTTTGCATGTAATGGTTTGATTTATTCATATATTATTGTTTTAGGAAGCTGAAAATCTACTTACTCTACAGAATGCTTCAACACCATTGAAAGGAGGTGTAAATACTCCTCTGCATGATCTAAATATGCAGTCAGCTTTACCACAGGATCGTTTTGTTGCTACTCCGAATACTGTCCTCTCGAATGTTGCAACTACGCCTTCTTCTACTTTACAAAGTATTTCGTTTGTTCATTTTTTGAAGTTTTGTTATTGATTTTCATTTTTTATTGTTATTTTTCTATTATCACATTTTGTGGTTGAACTTTTATAGTTTACATATGTTACATTCTAAGAATGTTGCTACATAATCATTTATTTACTAAATTTGTATTTGAAGGAACACCCGGGCAATCAGAACCTGCTACACCATCCAGTACACCATTTCGAGATCAACTAAGTATCAATAATCCGCAATTGTAAGTTTTAAATGCTTGTACTAGTTTGACTGAATAAAATTTTGAGAATTTAATCCCTTTCTTATTGTTCACACTCTTATTAAGAAAATTCTTCAGATCGTATGATTCGCGCAGTGAATTAAAAAAAGCACTGAGTTCTTTACCAGCACCTCGAAATGAATTTGTCATCATGGTACCACCGGAAGAAACGGAGGCATCACAGGAGGAAAAAACTGAATGGATAGACGATGCCAGTGATGTAGGTTTTTCTCAGTAAATGAAAAGTGCTATTAAGTTCAGTATCGCAAAATTCACGTAATATTATATGAAAATGGTTTTATGTTAAGTCTTACAGTATCTGTCTTTCGAACCAACGCATAACAGACTTCCAGTCTATTTGTCACAGTAATGGGAGATGACAGGAATACTTTGATTTCAACTAACAGAACTTCAAGCTTATTCTCAATGATTTGTAAAATAAAATTCAATTATATTTTTATCATGGTTTTTTAGATAGATGCTCAAAGAGCTGAAGAGTGTGAATTGTTACGTATTCAGAAATTGAAAAAAGAATCCCATGTTATACAACGTGGATTACCAAAACCATCAAAAATTAACGAACAAAGTTTCAAACCAATTTCGAGTAAGAGTGATATTGGCAAGGTGAATTCTTTATAGAAAGTGCTTGGAAAAAGATTTCCTTTCTTTTTATGGATTTTATTGTTCCATTTAGATAAAAAAGTAGAATTTCTAGAATTATTGTGAATTAAGAATTATCTCAAACATTTCAAATTTTTAAATTTTAACTTGTCAAATGAAATAAGCACAACAGTTTAATGACAAGTACTTTGAGTTTT